GTAGACGACCGTAGAATGTTGTATTAGTGCCTGCACCAGGAATGAATGTCATGTTCATGATCAAGATCTCAAATAGCCTGCAAGTTTTAATCGATTTTTGTGATCGAGAGCGTTTTTGCGCCGGCGCCTGTGGTGCGGGCACCAGTTTTTCGGGCCAATTAGAAACAAATATTGGGGAAAGGAATACACTCCAAAACACATGATCCGTTTCGCCCGTTATCGCACAATTTTAGTATATGTTCAGGAGTGAACAAGCGTGTGTGGATATGTTCAGGGGTCAGAACACCCTCCTGGCCATGTTATCGGCGAATTTGGTGATTAGCGCATTTCGGCGCTGGCGCCCATGGAGCAGCGCTAGCCAGTGCTAGGGTACGGATTCGACACTTGAGTTAGGGAGGTCGAAGTACCCATGGAAACAAATTTTTAGCCGACTCTGCCCTCTCAGGGGAAAATCGGTAAAAAACTGGCTAGGTGCCTGAAGATTAAGGTTGTAATTTTGACTAGTGCCCACACCTGAAAGATCATGAAGTCAGTTGCAAAGCAGACTGACTGCTTTCAGTCCACATCATTTTTCATTTGAATTGCGCTTACGATGTGTATGGAACTCTGAAACTGGCTAACTGCTCTTCAATTCATGTTCTTCTCATCGAAACGCCATTGCGAAAGGTATGCAACTTCGAAACAGACTAACTGATCTTTAACTCAAGTCCCGGTTAACGAGGTTCGCGCTCTAATCGCTATTGGAAGCGTGAATCACCAAAGAATGGCAAAATGCCAGGAGCGCCGCGGTCGATACGCGTTGCGCGGACGCTGTAGGAATAGATGCGACCCCTTTTGCGGCGCAGATTCCCGTCCGTTCATAACATCCGTTGCAAGCGCGCGTGTCGCGTGCGGCTCCTTGGCACTTTGCCAAGTCCTTTAATTGCGCTTTCAAATACGAGTAAAACGCAATTTCCTGATGCGGATAACATTGGAGGTGCTGCAAAATAAGAACAGAAGATGATGACGAGGGTCAGAACTTAAAAGCAACTGTGCCACTTCTGCAACATCCCTCGGAGGCCGCGTATTTCCACGAAACATGAAAATAAAACGGCATACTCGTTAGTTTGATACAAGCAAAACGCAATTTCCTGATGCGAATAAAATTTTAGGTGTTGCTCATGCTTCAAAATCCATGTACAAGGAGATGAAGATGACACAGGCTAGAAATGAAGCACACGATGTAAATGTAAATAAAAATGAAAAAATCAAGGAAAGGCAAATTAGTTGAAATCGCCTGTAAATTCTACGATCCGGCGCGAATCCGGCGCCAAAGCCATAGAAATACTTAGAATAAACGAGTGGGACGCTTGGATTGTTTTTATTCTCATGTTTTCTGGGAATGCGCGGCCCTCTGATGGATTCTGCGGATGCAGCCGAGTTGCTCTTGAGTTCTGGCCCTTGTCATCATCTTCTGTTCTTATTTTGTAGCACCTCCAATGTTATCCGCATCAGGAAATTGCGTTTTACTCGTATTTGAGAGCGCAATTAAAGGACTTGGCAAAGTGCCAAGGAGCCGCACGCGACACGCGCGCTTGCAACGGATGTTATGAAGGACGGGAATCTGCGCCGCAAAAGGTGTAAGGCGGAGCATGGAGGAACTAGCGTGTTTCACGGTCCTGTATCTCCATTCCTGGGCATGTTTGGGCGGGGGGACCACGACACATCGACAGCTGGGGGGCTGATAGTCTCATACACCCTCAATGTGTTTGAGCGTACCATGTGTCTTTAAGTAATGCACAGGTTTACGAGAGTAAGGTATATAAACCGGAAGCAGTGAACCAGCGAAAGTGCAAATTGCACCCCTCCCCCCACCCCCTCCCGTCGCCGGATTTGCACGTGATCTGATTTTTGTGCACTGTGCTTCTGCCTACTATTCCTCTGTTTACAAAACGATACACAGTTTACATTTTACTTGCAGTGAAAACGTGTGGATTGCCAAAGGTACGACGCTCATCGTTGGTTACGACGTTGCTCATCCTGGAAGGCCAACAGTGATGAAATAATGAACAGGATGCCACCGAGAAAACCTAGCGTTGTTGGAGTGGGTTTTTGTTCTTCATGAGACACTGTCGATTAAATCACCTCGGAAAGCATGTACAACAAATTATACTCTAGTTCACTGCGAATGAAGTGGTGTGTCAGGCAGCGTAAGTGTGCCTAGGCGCCAAACCCCCTTCTCCGACATTTGTTGAAGCGGGTATGCGACAACATTAGGTAAAACGAGTGATACGAACGTATGATACAGTCTTGTCACTTGCTCGCTTCAGCAACTGGTGGAGAACGGTTTTGGCACCGTGCCAAACTAATCCCGCCGAATACTGACCTCCAGAACTCGCAGATCTGGACTGGTAGAGACCTCTTCCCCCATTACGTGATTCGAAAAATAAAGTGGGGTCTGCCAGAAAGGTCTATAGTTGGAACAATTTTCAGTTTTCATTCAATGGTGCAGAACATCGTGAGAAGTTCATTGGCGACTACCACTACCAGACACCACGTCGTGAGAAAGTGGGTTTTGAACTGTTTCGAGGATTTCGCTAGCTCTATTAATGATATGCTCTCAATAGGTGGAACCCAATGTACTGAATGCTCGCTTCAAATGGATGCTTGAATTGTTCACGAAAAATCGCGGTGTATGGCCGGAAAATGTGCTCATCACAAGGGATGGTGTGTCGGAAGGCCAATATAGAATGGTATGACTACTGACAATAAGCACAAGCATCCCCTTATAAAGCCGGTCTAAGCTTGGAGTTGTGTCGTGAGCTTTCGTAGTGCTAGCAGATAGATTGTATTGGGTTAGACAGATGCGTCCAGACTTTGAGCTCCAGAGTACGTCGATGTTTGTAAAAGTGCTTCAATATTTACGAAAAATCCTTCATAGGTGGTTGACGAAGAGCTGTTTGCGATCAAGCAGGCATGCGAAGAGTTTGGAAATCTCCACGGTCGCGAATCATGGATGCCACGATTCACCGTGATTGTGGCTACCAAACGTCATAATGCCCGTTTCTTCGTGGAAAAACAGGGTAAGTTGGCCACGAGATTATTTCGGACACAGGTCTAAGATATTGTAGCCAAAGCAGTGTCGGGTGTAGGTTGGGACTCCACGTGGAGTCATCGAGGGACGGGCAAGAGAAGCGTAATTTACTGCGCGGTCGCGCACCGTCTGGCGATGAGCGCTGGAACCGTTCAGTGTGGACGTCACGCGGCGATGTGCGCGGAAAATCCAAACTGTACGTCCGCTCCTGCATTGGAGCAGCAAAACTCGTGGGAATAAATGGATATTCCCTTTACTAACTTTAATTTTCAATCAGATAATCCAAAAACAAGTCTATGACTGCCCTCAATAAACAACAGAATGTGCTAGAACTATAACAGCATGAAAAACTTCAGTCAGAACCGCTTACTGCTGGCGCGCTTTGGTGACACCATTTCCTGGCCTTTCATATTCACAACTGGAATGCCTTAGGCAGGACAGCTCGTCGCTCGCGGCGCCGAGTTGCCCGCCACGCCGGCCAGCGATGCAAATTACGATTCTCTTGTCATATACCCGGGC